ATAATATATATACAATTATATAAATATGTATATACATGTACATATATGTATATAATCAACTATATATCAATTCCTTTACTACTGTAAGCCTGCACGTCAGATGTATACATCTCACTGGGAACACATACAGGATTATCACATGTGCACCAATACCTACTTGTACATACAAGTACAGTGAGTGTACACGAATGTAAGATCACACGCACACGCCCAAACCAATGCATGCCCGTCCGCAGACGTTGGAACCAAAAACATCTCACATAGTCTAGCAACATAAACGCAAGCAAATGTAACAACATAAACCAAGTATAGACAACAAACCTTCCAACTTGTTAGCCTCGTCAGGGCCTACTAAGAGCAGTAGCATCTGGTGAGCGTCGTATTTGTTGACCATGATAGTGCAGTTGGTAGGCGACAGGAAACAGGACATCAGCAGTACAGACGACGTCTTAGAGCTGTATGATGAGAAACAAAGACGTGTTGTAGACATAGGAGCAGTGACGAATAGTACGGCTCTACGGGAATGGAGTGCTTGTTTTGGATCTATATACGGCTGAGGGATTACAAATTCTGGTGACGACACGCGTGCGGAGAATCCTGTTTCTTTTTTACGGATCATCCTAATTATCAACTATGATGCTCTGATTTGATGGTCTTATATTTTTGAGTGGAAAAACTGGCACAGCAGCATCACAGTAAATGTGACTACAAGATGATGTTTTATATGTATTTATATACTTACTGACTGGAATAAAAAATATTTGGTATATATAGACACATTGAGATAGAAGTCAATTTTGTAAAGACGTATCGAAATAAAAACATTTCGGTAGACTATTACTGAAATCAAAGCCATTCCTATATAGACTTGTTGAATCAAAGACATTTTTATATACACTACTAGAAATAAAGACGTATATAAACTTCTTGAAGTGAAACACACGCAAACACACACGCACACACACATATATATATAGACTTTTTGAAATAAAAGACATTTATCTATAGACTTACTTGGCGGCGTTTTCCTCGTTCGCCTTTGGGTTGAAGACAACCATACAAGGCCCCACCTCTGTGAAACAACAGAAAGTATAGAACATCAGAAAATAATAAACATCAGAAACATGGCAATTCAACGGCAATACAAGCAGAGACGCAATCTGTTGCTTGCCGTATACAAATGCAATTCCGAGAGGTGTAGGTATGTAATACCAGATATCGGGATTTGGAATCAGGACTATCGAGTGTGCTGGAGATGATATATTGAGAAGAAGAATCAGGAATATAAAAAAGCACGTGCGACGGGGAATGGTGGGGCGTAGTAAGGAGTGAAACCCTAAACCATAAACCCTAGGTACATCTGAAAGCTAGACACCACGCAACACAACCCACACGCACATACTGGCATTTGTACACGAAATTCCTGATAAAATAAACCCTGAACCCTTAAAACAACCCTACAGCAATAGCAGCCGCTCCTGGCATATATATATATAGATATATATATAGACAGCACGGGATCAATCCATACCACCCCCATCCACTACACAACACAGTAACAGTACATCCACCCCACCCTGTGCATGGGCCCACACACCTCCGTTCTCTTTGTGCTGCCGCTTCACATCCTCCGTAAACTCGTGAACCATGGTAACCCGTCGCGATAGCAACCGTTTGGTATTCTCGAACCCAAAGTGCAGCAGACGTTTGTTGACAAACGGAGCGAAGATGTCTGTGCCACACTGCACAACACGGTAGCCGTGGATGTCGTTGGTGGCTAACGACTTGTTGTGCCGAGACCGCTCGAGCATCTTAAGACCTGCGCTCACTATCTGAGGATCCGTGGGATCAGGACACGAGGAAGGGGATTGGGAGTGGGGAGTGTAAGAGAGATAGGGATAAAGTAGGTAGGAGAGTGGGGTGTGAGAGAGGGATAGGGATAGAGTAGGTAGGGGAGTGGGGTGTGTGAGAGGGATAGGGATAGAGTAGGTAGGGGAGTGGGGTGTGTGAGAGGGATAGGGATAGAGTAGGTAGGGAAGTGGGGTGTATGAGAGGGATAGGGATAGAGTAGGTAGGGGAGTGGGGTGTGTGAGAGAGATAGGGATAGAGTAGGTAGGGGAGTGGGGTGTGTGAGAGGGATAGGGATAGAGTAGGTAGGGGAGTGGGGTGTGTGAAAGGGTTAGGGATAGAGTAGGCAGGGGAATGGTTGCGAGGCCACGACGACTGATCGATGACCGAGAATAGGGCTGTTGCCCGTTATACAGCTGCACGGAAGGTAGTTGTGCGTAGAACAAACCGGGAGACAAACTATGAAAACCCTAAACCCTAAACTTTGAACCCCTATTTCAAAAATAGATCCCAAGTTAAAAATAGAACAGGTACATCGTGGCTGACGAGCGATCCGTGGTGAAGCAAGCGTTCTAGCTTTGGGCACCCGCGCAAAACAATTCAATGGGTGAGACACAACCAGGTAGAAGAACATGCATCTGCACACATATATACACACCAGTTAAATACACACCTAGATACATACAGTACATACCAAATCTACTCTAGCACGAGTTATATACACCCAGATAAGGCATATATATGCACACAAGTCATATACACTCAGATACACAATATATATTTACCAAACACACACTAGCAATACATATATGGACGTGAATACATACACGATATGGTCTTATAGATACGTCCCTTAGACACGTCCATAGAACTCGGGCACAGATTAACCATACACAGACACTCAAAACCTATCGCACACACTCCCTCGAGTGGGGAAGAGCCACCATGGTAACCCTGACCTATTCCTAGCCAGCTGATAGTACGTGCATGGATGGATGGCGTAGGAGCTCACAGGCACATCTTACAGAACCAGATATACAGACATATCCGCAGCATACACACACACAGATATATACCCGTAGTATACCCACACACAGAGATGCATACGTAATACACACACACAGGTACATACGTCTAACACGTGGAGATCCATTCGTTTTACATTCGTACTACACACACCCTCAAGTTCGGGTTGGCCACCAATGTCTCTCTCAGCTGATTAGTCGCCAGGTGATAGTGGTGTGCGTTGGCTTACACACACACAGGTACATAGGTTTAAAACACACAGAGAGATGCATACGTAATAAACTCTCACACGGGAACATACGTAATATACACACACAGGTTCATGCGTCTTACACACACAGATCCATTCGTACTATATTCGTACTACACACACCCTCAAGTTCGGGTTGGCCACCAATGTCTCTCTCAGCTTATTAGTCGCCAGGTGATAGTAGCGTGCGTTGGTGGTGTTTGCCGAGTCGAAATCGTTCTTGCGATAGAACAGATTCTCCTGTGGGAAGCTCTCATCGAGTGCGTAGAACGTTCGGATGGACTTCAGGGCAGGCGAGTCTTCGGCTATTTGGTAGTAGGGATCGTTGGGATATGCATCCTTCTGGAACTTAGATAGTTTGTCCTGGGTGTATAAGGTATGCAGAGGTTTAGGCATAATTGTTTGCAAGGATACAGTGAATTGGCTGAATATATATATATATATATACATATATATATATATATTTATAAAGTGAATTGGTGTATTATGTATATATACATATATATATATAAGTATATATATATATATATATATGTATACATATATATATATATATAATATACAAATATATATACATACATATACACACACACACACACATATATATATATATATATATGTATCACTCAGGATCGCTCGAGGCACTTCAATACAGGCGACAGTTAGGCTATTCAGGAGTATAGTTCGTTGATTTACACATCCTTTCGAAAAACAGGAAGACAATCCCTTGTTACACGCGGGGGCATATGTGTGTGTATATATCACTGTGAGGTTGTGTGTTTGTAGACCGATTGCATTGGTGTGGCACCTGCATTGCTAGGGTGTAGCGACAGACACGGATGTATACCAAACAGGCTGCCTTGAATTCATCAAGCAAGAAATACAGAGTATGTATACAACACCTGTGCTCGTAAAACAAACAGGCTGCCTTGAATTCATCAAGCAAGAAGTACAGAGTATGTATACAACACCTGTGCTCGTATATCAAATAGTCCAACGACGGGATACGCCGTACGTAAGAGTGGCGGTTAGCCGTGTGTGGTAGGTACATATGTGACCCTTCCATATGAGTCATACGTACATGTGAGTCATATGACGTACATGTGAGTCATATGTGGTAGGTACATGACCCTTCCTTATGATTTATACATACATGTGCGTCATATGTCGTCATATGTGGTAGATACATGAGTGGCCCTTTATATGAGTCATACGTACATGAGTTATATGTGGTAGGTACATAAGTGACCCTTCCATATGAGTCATACGTACATGTGAGTCATATGTGGTAGGTACATAAATGACACATCCATATGAGTCATACGTACATGCGAGTCATATGTGGTAGGTACATAAGTGACCCTTCCATATGAGTCATACGTACATATGAGTCATACGTACATATGAGTCATATGACGTACATGTGAGTCATATGTGGTAGGTACACAAGTGACACTTCCCTATGAGTTATACGTACATGTGAGTCATACGTGGTAGGTACATAAGTGACACTTCCCTGAGTCATACGTACATGTGAGTCCCATGTCATACTTACATGGCTGGGCTTTTCCACTGAGCTTTCCTCCGCATTCCTCTGCAACGCTTTCTCCTCGGCCTCAGTCTATTTATACGATAAATTATTGATAATGAAAGATATGGTTTAATGTTAAATTTTTGACGATGAAGAGTATGGCTTAATGACAGAATATTAATGATGTAAGAGTATAGCTTAACAATCAATCAATACTAACAAAGTGCATGGTTAAATGATAAAATATTGACGATTCAATGGTATAATACACCAATCAAATATTGCTGATAAAGAGTATGGTCTAAATGGCAAAATTTTCATGATAAAAAAAGGTATGGTTTAACAATCAACTATTGATGACAAATGGTGGTCTGATGATAGAATGTTGACGCGAAAAATAAACCCGGACTTTCCACTGACAAACAAACGTATAGTTGTGGGGAGTCAATCAATATCAGCCACTGCTCAGCTTGCACATGTATATATATACATATACATATATATGAAAATTTATATCTATTGATACATACACACACACACACACACTATACACACACACACACACTATACACACACACACACACTATACACACACACACATATATATATATAAATGAATATAACAAATTATATTATATATATATATATATATGCATACATACATACATACATACATACATGCATACATAGATATACATAGATATATACATACATACATACATGCATACATACACACACACATTTATATATAAATATATATATATATATATATATATGTGTGTGTGTGCATAGACTCATACCCACTCGTATTCTGATTTGTACAAATAATCATACCTGGGGAGCATCCGTTTTGCTGAGTGGCTTGACCTTTCTCAGACACGCGACAAAGAAACCACCGGTATTTTGGAGATGCGGGAATATACGTATGCAACGATCCATGTTGAGTTCCTTGATGTTTTCTGTACAGAGAATCGGGACAAATTAGGCTTTAGGAGACAAAAAAATGGCATAGAATACTAAAAGTGTTATCCAAAATTGAAAATAGGAACAGCTCAGCCTTTTGGACACATAATTACAATACTTACAATATAAACGGCACCTACAATGCATAAAGTCCCTACAATACTAACAGGTGTATCCGTCCTAATTCACAACTCGGAATATATAGTACGATGTCCTTGATTTGGTTAAGCGATGTCCTATTTTGAGTTTCTTGGTGTGTTGTGGGTAGGGACTGACATGATTATATACATCTGCATGACCACCAACACACGTGATAGGTGATAAGTACTGAGCTTCTTGGTGTGTTGTGGGTAGGGATTGACATGATCATATACATTTGTATGACCACCACAACACGTGATAGGTGATAGGTACTGAGCTTCTTGGTGTGTTGTGGGTAGGGACTGGCATGACTATATACATCTGCATGACCACCAACACACGTGATACGTGATAAGTACTGAGTTTCTTAGTGTGTTGTGGGTAGGGACTGACATGACTATACATATCTGCATAACCACCAACACACGTGATAGGTGATAGGTACTGATCTTCTTGGTGTGTTGTGGGTAGGGACTGGCATGATTATATACATCTGCATGACCACCAACACACGTGTTAGGTGATGAGTACTGAGCTTCTTGGTGTGTTGTGGGTAGGGACTGACATGACTATATACATCTGCATGACCACCAACACACGTGATACGTGATAAGTACTGAGCTTCTTGGTGTGTTGTGGGTAGGGACTGACATGACTATATACATCAGCATGACCACCAACACACGTGTTAGGTGATGAGTACTGAGCTTCTTGGTGTGTTGTGGGTAGGGACTGACATGACTATATACATCAGCATGACCACCAACACACGTGATAGGTGATAAGTACTGAGCTTCTTGGTGTGTTGTGGGTAGGGACTGACATGAATATACATATCTGCATAACCACCAACACACGTGATAGGTGATAAGTTCTAAGCTTCTTGGTGTGTTGTGGGTAGGGACTAATATGACTATACACATCTGCATGACCACCCAGACACGTGACAGACGTTGACGTACCTGCGGGGAAGCAACTCTCAGGCAACTTCTTGCGTAGATCGCCCTCGGGCAGGTCTGCGAATTTGGCGTATGTGACCCACTCACGGCCCACCTATAAAGCAGGATGAGAATAAATAGACGTTGTATGTGACTACAAAATACTTGGACCAGATATAAATCAGGATGGTAATGAATAGACGTTGAATGGGATTCCATTATAATTGGACCAGATATAAATCAGGGCAAGAGTAAATAGAAGTTAAATGGGATTGCACTATACTTGAGACCACAAATAAATCAGGATAGGATTGAATATAAATGAATGAGATTGCATTATACTTGTACCCGATTTATTCGGGACAGGAATAAAATGGATTGGATGGGATTGCATTCTACTATGAGTTATAATGGATCAGGTCTGTGTATTGACCGAAGAGTAGAAGAGAATGCCGGAGTGACGGTAAAAGTGCGCAGACACACACACACACATACACACACACAGAGAGACTCCCACTCCACACAGATGCACCCAGACAAAGACAAAGACAAACACACACACACACATACATACCTACATGCATATACATACTCGCACATAACAACGTGTACGTACATGCACATGAGGGACGTACCTTTCCTTGCATCACCCAGTCTGTGATACCCTTCTTGTGAATCAGGCCAGGCACACGGTCTACAACATCCACCAACTCAAACGCACCAGGATGATCATTCAGCAGTGACTGGATGACAGCCTCGTTCTCTGCAGGCTGCATGGAGCATGTGCTGTATACCAACTCACCACCAACAGCCAACAACTGTAGGTGAAGTAGTGAAGTATATGAGCAATGTGGCATATATGACAGTGTATATAAATATAAATATATATATATATATATATATAATATGTATATGATATATATATACATATATATGAATATATATATATATATATGTACAAATATATAAATATATAAATATATATGTATATAAATATATGCATACT